TGCTTATGAAATCAGCCTAATATCTGGTCTTCTTTAGCGATAATTTTTATTGGCCTTGTTTCTCTGTGTATGAGTCATGTTTTCCTGTCTCTGTGCATGCTCTCTTAATTTTACTTAAAAATTATGCATTTCAAGTAATCTCACGTGGGAACTCCAGAACTCTGTGTCCCTTTCCCAGCCAGGGTTTTTTGTTGTTTCTCTTTGCTGTAGTTTGCCATTTGTTTGTGACTTTCCTGGCCTAGTTCTGTAACTTCTGTATTCTCTGCCATGTGTGTCCATTAAAATCTCTTATTTAGTGATCTTAGTGATCACCTAATGATTGAACAAATATTTTCTAAAATTCTTTGAAACGATAAATCTTACACATCTGGTTAGGAGCTCTATGTGCGCTGGGAGATTTAAACCTCTGCTTTCGTAGAAAGGCTTAGGTTAGCCAGAGGTGAAAGCTTTGGCCCTTTCATGTCTTTCCTACGCATGCATATGGATGTGGCCTTCTAGGCAACTGAGAAAGTCCCTCATTCATTTCTCAAATTTTTCCTTTAAGATTTTTGGTAAATTTCTACTGTTAACACTTTCTCTGGCAGCTGTGATGTTAAACAGTTGCCACTGGTTATTTTTGACAAATGTCCTTGGGGATGTTCACAGGGAGGGCTCTGATTCAGGTCCAATAAAGATAAATTGTGAAACAAAGCTTTTCACCAAGCTTCTAGACAGCTCAAATAATAACACTTCTCTAGGGATGGGGCTTCTGAAAAGCTCTAAACCTGTCCTGTCCCGGCTAGTGGCTACTAGGCTGCTGGTTAACATAGTTATGGTAACAAAGCTGTCAGTTTTTGTAATGCAGGAAAAAATTTCAGTGTCCAATACTCTCACAACACAGAACCTTTCCATGACCCTTGGTCATCAAGCACTATGAGGATTTCTCCCCACAGTTCTTTAGTGGACATCAGCTGGGTATCCTCTAATTTAATTCAGTTCTGACACTGTCTGCCTAGAGATACAAGGTTTTCACCTATATTTCCAATTGACTAGTTGCAAATAGAGGTTTCCACAAAACCTTGCTCAGGTTTGAATAATTTTCTACAGAGGCTCAGAGAACTCAAGCACTCATTCACACCTGTGCATTTGTTTAAAAAGATATTGGAAATGATTCTGATGGAAGAGATGCATAGAGTAATGGATAGGAAGAAGAGACAAAGAGCTTCTATGATTATTGTTAGTCTTCAATTTTCAGCATTTCAGAAAAGTATATTGAACATTTCCCCAGTGTCCTCATTGCTTTTACAGTAGAGACATCTTTACAAGTCCTTCCTCCACAGCCCAGAAGTCAGCCACCAGAACACAGCTTTTCTTTGCTTTTTTATTATGTGATTTTTGCTTTATTTTTATCATGCCATGTATTATCCATTCAAAAATTAATATAAACATAAAAACTAGCACACATGTGTATATACATAATCCAGGAGCCTACACGTATAAGTGGACACACCTGCCTGGGACACGCATTTATTCATCCTTGCTGTGGAGTAGCAGGCTCAGCTCCATGTTTCAGAATCTCCCTGTCCCCAGACATTGATGTTTGCAGTATGGGTACAGGTAGAGAGAGACGGGGTCAGAGAAGCAAGAGGAGACTGCAGAGCCTCTGGCAACAGTGATGGTGTGGCTTGGACTTCTCCATAGTTAACTTCCCCTCAGGACACCCTGTGTGCACAGGCCAGGCACATACATGGTCGGCACACAGCACATGTGTTTAGGCAGGCATGTACCTGGAATGTGCAGCTGAAGTTAAAGGAAGATGTGGTACTGATATCCCACAGGGCCTGGGGGACTGGACTGTGAAACATGGGAGACTCAGTGACTAGGACAAGTTTCTGGAAGGGACAACTGACGGAAGCCTAGCTTCTGGCCTGATGCCTCGGGCCCACCAGCTTCCTACTGTCAAGACGGACTCCTATGCCACATTCTGCTCTAAGACACCTTTTTCTGGCCGGTTGGGCAGCCTGGGTACCACTTTAGCAGCCTGACTTGTCATGGGCTCTTCCAGGTCACTTCCTTCTTAGGCAGCATCTGCGGCTGATAATGGCTGTATCTCAGCCTGAACCAACCGTTGGAGATAATCTCAACTTCCTCTCTGAGCCACCTGTGGTAGGAGCACCTGGACCTAGGCTGGCAGGATGCCGGGTAGTCTGTACTCGGCTGGGTCATCCACCGACTTCCAGCATCAAAGATTGCAAGTCTCCTCTGTCCAAAATGCATGACACAGGATTTCTAAAAAGGAAGTTTCTTTTTATTATAAATTTTTTTCAAGCTCTAAAGAATAACATAATAGGGGCTGGGGATTTAGCTCAGCAGCATAAGTGCCTGCCTTGCAAGCAGGCAGTCGTGAGTTCGATCCCCGGTAGTGGTAAAAACGAAAAAGACAAAAAAAAAAAAAAAGAATAACATAATAAAGACTCATGCACCCATCATTTGGTTTTAACTTATATTAAAATTATACTTGACCAGCTTCAGTTCTTATTGTTTATTTAGTTTTACATTTTATTTTGTCAGCAAGTGAATATACTCATCCACTCTGGAGTTGGCAAGTATTTCAGTTGTGTTTGCTATTGTGAACAGAGCTGTAATAGGCATTCTGTACACACACACACACACACACACACACACACACGCACACACGCACGTACGCACGCACGCACGCACACGCACACCAGGGTCTCCCCGTGGGAATTGACCTAGGCATGGAAGGAGTTGCAGAATATCCAGCTTGATGAGATCCTACTGAACTGTTTTCCAGTGCAGTTGTATCAATTTGCACTCTGCCAACAGCGTCTGAGAGGTCCCGGGGAGCTGCGTCCTCATTGCTGTGCAGTTGTGTCACCACTCAGGGTCAGGACACCCAGAAGCCACCCAAGGTCTGTCTGCAGCTCTTATTTCACTTGCTGACTCTGCAGGGTGCCTGATGAGAATAATCCTACTTAACATTTTTCTTTGGTACCAAGTCCTGTGCCGGGCACTGAAAACCCACAGCCACTTTCTTAGATGAGCTCCAGCAGTGCACGACTGAGCCAGATGTGCAAAAGTCCAGGCAACGTGGAGAGGGAGAGGCACACACCCAAATCACCCTGAGCACATAGGGACTCCAGGTGAGGAAACAAAACGGGTTAGGATGGAGCGGGAGGGTGTCTGTGTCTGGGGCCTCTGAGGAGGTTGCCGCAGAGCTGGGTTCTGAAGCTCTGAGGTAAGCAGCATGGGCTCTCAAGTTGGTCTACCTGCACAGGCACCTTGCTGTGGGGCCATGGGCAAATTGCTTGACTTCTCAAGCCCCTGAAGATTTCAGGAGATCTAGGGATGGGAATCCTTCTTAGCAGGGCTGTGAACGCCAAGTGAATAAAGCATAGAACCTGATAAGTGTGATATCACAGAGTGAGCTTATGGTTCTCACAATCTGTATGATCTAAAAATTTGCATAGAGAAAGAGATGGGGCAAATGTTTTGGACAGCGGTAACAACCTACCATGTGAACATAGAGAAAGGTAAACTACTGGGAGATGCTGGAGCTTAGAAAGCACTCAGAGAGAAGGTTGAGTTGGATAGGGCTTGGAAGGGCAGAAATTTGTGCCCAAGCCTGAGGGCAATAGGCAGCCATGGAAGGGCTGAGCAGGACAGTGGTCAGGTCAGACTGGGTGAAAGACTCTGCCAGTAGAGCCAGAGAAGAAAGGTTTAAAGGCTCAAGCTGGGACTCAAACCCTGGTCTTTCTATTCAAATGCTCCCACACATTCCAGCAGGATTTCAGAGCCTTTAGAAATCAGAACCCCACCTGTCTGTGACTGGCCAGGTCCCCGGTGGGCATCTCCCCATCTTGGATATGCATGTGGGTTGGGGTGGGAGCCATGCAGGAGTCCAACTTCTGGCCCATTTTTGGCTGGAGTTGGGGGGCAGCTTCCAGCTCTCTGGCCCTTCTGCTGTGCAGTTGGTCAAGTACTCTCCCCCTGAAATGCTGGAGCTCTCAGCTGGGTCCAAATCATACTGCCTTGATTCCGCATTCCCTCATGTAGCACAGATACCATGAATGGACCGGAAATTGAATGCAAAATCAAAATGCAGCAAATAAATGGATGCAAAAGTCATTTGGAGCCAATAATAAGAATCACCTCCATACTCAGCTGCAGAGAAAGTTCTGCGGAGGCTAAGCATGCCTGGCCCAGAAGGGAGGTCAGCTCTCAACCTGCCCCTGCTTTCCTATTTGCAGTGCTGCTCCACTGCCTCCACGGTGGGATGGTCTCCAAGGACACTCAGGGGACAGACAGGGAAACTAAGACTTGGAAAGAGAGCATTAGGGCCCTAGAGTCAGGCAGAGCTGGCCCTGGCTAGGCCTGCTGTCTAGCCCTGGTGACCTAGGGAGAATCACTTGACTCAAAGTTTCTTTATCAGACAAATCACACAGTCTTGTTCACTACTGCATCCTGGTGCCTCTGTTGTATCCGCTCACAGTCAGTGCTCAGTGCAGATCTGCTGACCTCGTGACTGGGGAGGACTACACCAGAAATCAAGAACTGCATCCTGCTTGGCATGTGACTGAGCCCAAGAGCCACAGTGGGCACCCATTCATCCACACAGGAATGGATTTAGTTTGAACATCAGCTTTCTCTTCCTCCCCAGGTGCCCTCACTCAAAAGCCCTGGCAGCACCCCCCCCCCAGCCTCCTCAGTCTGGGTTCCCCGGGGCTGGGGGGCTACACCTGGATGTGACAGGACAGTGTTGGACTAATATCCAACAGTTAACAGCACCACAGAGGCAGGCTCATAGAGCACAGTCTCATCAAATGTGTTTGTTGGTCCACTGTCAATCAGGGCTAGGAGAGACCCACAGGTGATGCCACTTGCCCAAGGCATGTGGTACAGAGATGCCTGAGCCACAATACCAAATCCCTGTCTCTTTGTCTCATTCATTCCTCCAACAAAGGTATAATGGCAGCTCCTGGCCAGCTTAGGCTTAGAACTTGGGGGGTCTCATGCTAGCTAGCACTGGTCTCCAGGCTGAGGACCAAAGCCCACCCTGGGCCAGCAGGAGCTGTGTAGACAGTGAGAATGAAGTGAATGTGAAAGAGGAACACAAAAGCCTCTGGCCAGGACACCTGGACATCCAGCATGAAACAGAGAGGAGTAGGGAGAAAGGCATTTACACCAGAATCAGCTATTGAGGACCAACTATGGTCCCGGAACTCAGGACAGAGCAGTGAGCAGCACTCGGGGATCACACATGCTGCTGGAGAGCGATGGCTGCACACCCTGCACCTCCAAGAAGGAGTCCTCAAGGCAAGACAGCTCCAGGAGGAAGGTGACCTGGGACACCAGCGGGGCCAGGGAGAGTTTCCTGGAGGCAGAGAGGGTCCTTGAGGTGAGAGCTGGAGGAGGCCGTGGGAGACAGCAGAGAGGAGAGACTGAAAGAGGGAAGGGAGGAAGGATGGAAGCAGATAGGGAAGTGGGGAGCAGGACTGTCCATGAAAGGGAGAGAGTTGGAAAAGAGATGCTAGGCAAAGAAAACGATCCAGAAATGGGGGTCAGGAGGACCACAAGGTGGAGGAAAGAAGCAGCCGGCTCTGATAGACTGATAAAGAAGGCCAGAGTGGGAAAGAGGCCTGGTGGGCAGAAAGAGCCTGGCAGGAAGGAGGGCAAAGGGAATGAGAGAGAAAGGGCCCGCGGCTCACTCCTGGCTCCCACACTCTCCTGCTCGCCTGCCTTTCATCTCCAACACAAAAGAGGAGCATGCACCCCCAGGGAAGCCAGGCGGGAGGGCTGGGGAAATGCATAATGCATTTCGTGTGCAGCTGCCCGCCCCTTTCATCTTGCCTTTGTAGGGTTGGGGGTCCAGAGCAGCGCCAGGCTGAGCCAGAGGGAGCGGGGCCAGAGGGAGGTGGGCTGCTGCCAGAGTCCGGGCGTGCAGGGTGGCAAGGGCCCATGTTCCCTCTGCCCACCACTCCCTCAGGCCATGCTCACTTCCAACTGGAAAGCCCTCCTGCCAAAAGGCTGGCTGATGATGGAATTGTCAAGTGCTGGTTGTGAAATAAGGTGTTAACTGTTCACTGGGACGTGCTCACTACAGAATACAGTGTTCCCTGTCAACCAAAGAATTCGGTAAGTGGCATGTTTGCTGATAATTCCAGAGTTAATAAATATTTTGCTATTAACTGGTGTTTGCTGTTAGCCAGGATATTTGACAACAAGTAAGGTTTTTGTTAAGTATGCATTCGCACTTAACCAGGGTGTTAACACTTAATGCAGGTGGTGGCTGTTAACTAATGTGCTTAAATTAGCTGTGGTGTATGTCAATCAAGTACTGTGGCCCCAGCTTTTGTGCCTCGGTTTCCCTCCTCCTCGCTTCCCTTCCTCCAGCATCTTATTTGCTGGAAATCCTCCCTTTTCCCCCGTCCTGACCTCAGGACACTCCTCCTCCAATGAGGTTGCCCCAATTCAAGACTGTAGTCACAATTATAATTGGCCAGTAAAATGGAAAGTGGGGCACTTCCTGAAATGGCCTGCATTTAAAAAACAGGAAGAATGTCTAAAATATTTACATAGTCAAGGGACTGACTCTAACAGTAGAGTGCAGCTGGGGGAAAGCTATTTCTGGGCTCTGAAATCCTGCAGAGTGCCTAAGCTGGGGCCCTGAGGTGGGCTCTCAGGAGGTACCAGGCTCTAAGGCATACAAGGGATCTGCCAGGACACCAGGGCCACCATCTGTCGGTCTTGTTCCGTCCGTCCATGCTGAAGTACTCTGCTGGTTGATGCCTGGGGAATGGGAGCCTGCTGCTGGCTTTCCAGGTTCCCAGCTCATGTGGCTGCAGGAGGCCTGAGGTGTCTGAACTCCAAGGAGTGCTGAGTTACCACACAAGGCTCCTCAAGTCACTGCCCGATCTTGGCCTCAGGACCAAGCCGGGGTTTGCAGCAGCAGACATTAGAGGGACTGGCCAGCTCCATCTTGCAGGGCAGTGCTCTTCCAGGGCCCTTTCACAGATCCAGCACCAGAGCCAGGGAGGTAGCTCTGTCCCAGGTATGTGTCTGCCTTCCATGAGGCCCAGCCAGCTCCTCCAGCTGGCCCCTCCCTAGTAGGCCTGGGAACTTCCACAACACAGGGAATTGACAATGACAGGATGGGTCCAGCAGTCACCAGCTGCCCCCTTGGGAACCTGCTGGTGAGTGGAGCAGGAGGGGAACCTAAGCTGTTGGGTAGCCTCCAGCCCCTCTCAGTCCCCAGCCTGCCTGGTGTGAGCCAGACCCTTGCAAACACACTCAAATATAGAGGCTCATTACAACAATGCACACTCATAACTTCACACCCAGACCAACATACACCATTCCAGGGACACTCTTAAAAAAAAAAAAAAAACACTCAGATATATCACACATGTGCACAATAGGCACAGGCACCAGGCACACACCCAGCAGACCCTATGTCCACCACACTGTCTCCCTCCTGGATGTGGGCAGCCTGCAATTCCTGTCTTCTCAGTCCACACTCCACACAAGATATTCACAGACGAAAGTAAATATTAATGACCACGGCCTTGCCCTGAGCTCTTGGGCAAAACCACTCCCCAGCTCAGCTCATTCCTTCCTCTCTGGCCACCCGGCTCCTTACAGACCCTCCTGTGGCTGCATGGTTCCAGCCCCTGCGCCTTGGCACATGTGCTCTCTTGCTTGAGCACAATTCCATCCCCAGCCTCTAGTCTGTCTATTGACTGACTCCTACTTGGCTCAAGCCCAGAATTCTGGGGAGCCTGCCTGACCCCCCACTCCAGCCCAGATCTCTCAGTGTGATGCTCTCCTTGGGAGCACAGGAAGGAGTGGCAAGGTTTAGCTAGGTGAGTATCTTGAGACCAGGTCTGCCTCAGTCTCCTACATCACCCCACACCTGGCACAGGACGTGGCACAGGGACCCTTCACATGCAAAAGTGCAATCCATAAATGAATGAGTAAGGGGCAAGCATGCAAGTATAGGTGCCCAGAGAGAGACGGAGAAGTATACACTTGAATCAGGAGACCTGCTGCAATCCCACATGCTCCTCTCTGACTAAGTGACTCAGAGAAGTCACTTGACCACTCTGGAACTCCCCATATGTAATTTCCCATTATTTGTTGGAATGAACGCATCGCCCCCATAGCCAACCTCCTCACGGGTCCACTGCTGGCTCTCACACACTTACGTGCAGCTCCAGAGCAGTCCCTTGTTCCCCAGGTCACAGGCCCAGCTCACATCTGGTACCCCAGCTGGCACCTCTTGGCCAGGCAGAGAGAACAGCTGCAGTTGTCAGACCTCATGGTGGGCCATGCTGGACCGAGAGTTGAATGGGCGTGTGTGTGTGTGTGTGTGTGTGTGTGTGTGTGTGTGTGTGATACTAGACACCAATCCCAGGGCTTCATACATTCTAAGCAAGCACTGTATCATTGAGCTAAATCACCAGTTAGTTTCTAATTTTTTTTTTTTTGAGACAGGGTGTCACTAAGTTGTTCAATCCTGCCTTGAACTTGCAATCCTCCTGCCTCAGCCTCCCAAGCAGCTGGGATTGCCAGCATGCACCATGATACCTGTCATGACAGTTTCTTATTAAGTTCTTTCAATAGCACCCTGATGGAACAGGTGTCTAGGTTCACCCCAGTTTACAGAGAATCAGACAAGTTCCAAGAACTGAGCCAAGGGTATTCTGGGAGCGAGAAGACAGAGATGTGTGAACCCCTTCCCAACACACTCCATACTTTCTTTTCCCCCTGCCCCCACCAGTTTTCTTCCTTTGTATGAACAGGTCTCCTCCAGTGCCCCGTCTGCCCTACTGCTGACAGCTCCTCCCCACCACTCTGGCCTCAGCTCCTCCCTCCAACCAGCAAGCACCTCCCTACTGGAAGAGGACAGCTGGGTACTTGGCCAGCCAGTTCTTGCCTCAGCTCTGGCATTCTCCACTGGGAAAACAGCCTCTCTTTACCTCACTTTCCCCTCTGTACAAAGCAGTAATCACACCACCTAAGACTTTGTCAGGAACAAATGATCTAACCCAAGTAGAGCGCAGACCAAGTGTCCCTAGTTCCTCTGTGTTCTGATGCTAACAAGCAATGCCCATTGAGAGGCCAGATCTGCCTAAAGTCTTGGTACCCAGCACCCCAGCATCAGCTCAAAGCCAACGACACCCAGATGCAAGAGTGCGAAAACCAGCACTGTCATTTCCAAGTGACATCCACAGCACACCTGGGCTCAAGCAGGCATTGCCTGAAGTCACACCTTGCTTCCTTTCCTCTGCAGTCTCCCTACCTGGACACAGCTTCAAAACAGATCACTGTGCAGTGGTGTTTAGCTCAGGCCTGCTTCTGGGTTCCCCACCGAAGTAACAGGTCCAGCTGTTTAGCACGGACCTGGTTTAGAGCAGATCCTCAGTCCATCTTAACCACCATCATTATACTTCTTGGCACTTGTATTGCTCAGCTTTCCCATTACTGGGACAAAGTACCTGACAAGAGCAATTTAAAGAAGTGGTTTATTTGGCTCACAGTTTCAGAGGTTCCAAGCCATGGTCTGCTGGTTCCCAGGCAGAAGCACTACGGTGCAAAAGGCTTGACAGAGGTAAGCTGTGCAATTCCTGTCCTAAGGGGACCAGAGAGCAGGGGAAGAGCCAAAGAAAAAAGGTACCCTGCAGGGGGGAGCTGCATGACTCTGGTGACTTAACTTCCTCCAACCAAGCCCCAACAACACAGTTAGCTATGAGCTCATCACTGGATTCATTCATTGATGACATCAGCACTCCATGACCTAATTAGCTTCTAAAAGTCCCCTTCTGGCACATGAGCCTTAAGGAAATACTGTATTTTTGATCCAAACTGTTATACCTATATGCGAGTATAGTACAACTACGGTCATTTCCCCCAGATCTACAGCAGATCCATCCCAACCCTCCCCATACCAAAATCTGCAACCGCTTTAATCCCTTACATAAAATAGTGTAGTATTTGCCTATGATCTATCTAGATTTCCTGTAAGACCTAAAACAATGTAAATGCTGTGTAGTTGTTATATTATCTTGATTGTTGTGGGTTTTTGTGTGTAGTTTTTGTGTTTTCCTTTTGTCTGAATGTTTTTGATTTGTACTTCTTTTAATCCAAAGCTGCAGAATTTAAGGATACAGAAGCCAAACTGTGTCTTTGCCCCTCTGGGTCTTAATTTGCTCATCTATAAAATGAGCACAGTGGTGCCATCTCTGCAAAAGTCTTCACTGAATAACCGAGTGAATGAACAAAATAATTTCTCAATTTCTTTGCAAGGGGCAGCCCAGTGAAAGGACAGTTGCTACCATCCTTGTCACCCCGAGATGCCCCCCAACCCCTCCCTCGGTCCTCTCCATACTTCCTTTCTCCAGAAGGAGGAAAGCTTCCTTCTGAATCTAAATGTCACCCCGAGATCAGCACATGAACACCTCTCCCCATGGCCACATCTCTTCCTCTCATCGGGTCCCCTGACAGAGGCCTGGGCAGCCATCCCGGCAAGGGCGTGCTATGCTAACTCACAGTCATAGTTACATTTCCAGGAATTTTGAGTCCCACTTGCTAAACTGTCGGCAACTTGAAATACACCGCTGGGAACTGACACTACTGTGCCCGAGCGGTGCTGCAGCTGTGACTTTCTGTGGAGTGGTGCTCACCAGTGCCCGATGAAAACCATTGCTTACCCACACTCCTACCTGAGCTCCAGCCCTATCTGGATATCAAAACTATTTTATGTTTTTATAAGTTAAAAGAGCTAAGTCACTTTCCTTTCTGCATGTGTTCTTTTTGCAGATTTCTGTGGCCAAGTGATTCACCTTAGGGGAAAAAAAATATTCACAGCCAATTCTTCGTACCTCCTTCCTAACATACATTCTCCTAGAAAGTCCATCTTGGCCTTCCTTGAAAGATTTCATGACTTACAGGGGCTTAGAAATGTTGACTTTTAGAAACTTTAAGTTAGAGAGACTTTAGATTCTAGAATTCTGAAACCCAAGACTCCTGTATCTTAGACTCAGAACATTCCAGTTAGGGCAGTCTCATCTTATTCAGGAATTTGATTCCAGAATGACTGGGTAAGCAAATATTTGAGTCTTAGGGTAGTCAGAAGCCCATTGTTAGAAAGAGGGACCTTTTTACATCATTAGCTGGAGTATAAACGAGTACAACCACTGTGAAAATCAGTATGGAGATTCCTCGAAAAACTAAAAGTGGAAATTCCTTGTGACTCTGTTATACTCCTTTTAGGTACCTTCCCCAAAGAGATAAAGACATCATATTACCATGATACATGTGTACCGATATTTATAGTAGCACAGATACTAATAGCTAAATCTTGGAAACAGCTTATCTATCAACAGATGAATGGATTTTAAAAATGTGATATTTATTTATAATGAAGTACTATTCACCTATAAAGATGAGTAAATCTGAGTCATTTGTACAAAAAGGAAGCACCTTGAGACCATAATGCTAAGTGAAATAAATCAGATAACAGAACATTAAGTATTGCATGGTTTCTGTGACACGAGAAACCCTAGGTATAAATATAGAGCAAAATCAAAGATAAATGATAGGAACAGGGAGGAGATGGGGAAGGGGAGAGGGAAAGAGGAGGGAAGGGAGGGAAAAGGAAATTTTAAAAGATTAAGATGCAATATATAGATGCACCATCCCCATGATTAATGTATTCATTATATATCACAAACATACCAATTGAAAAGCTTCCTTTGTTGGAGGCCAGCTTGGGCAATTGAGCAAGACCCTGTCTTCAAAAAAATTTTTCTGTATTAAGTGGCTGGGTGTGGCGCAGTGCTAAAGCACGTGCCTATAGTTCATGAGGCCTAGAGTCAACTCCCAGGACTGAAAAAAGCCCCCAGGTAAACCTTTACCCGAGACCGCATCCTGGAGACCCTTCAGCCCTCTACTGTGGTCCTACTGTTTTCCTTCCACAAAAGGAACAAACCCCTGCCTTTCAGTTGAGGAGATGAAGTGAGTTTGGGGTGACGGTAGTAGAATATGTATCTGTGAATCCTGGAATTCACCCAAGGCGGCAGCGTGCCCACGCTCACTATGAGGGCACAGCCCCAGAGCCTTCCTGTCCTGGGGGAGCACACAGAAGCCCGCGTGCATGCTTCTCCCTCTCCCAAGTGGAGCTGAAATTCACTCACAGAAAATGTAAATACCAGAAATGGGATGTGGGAAGGGACCTCACTGCCAGGCCCCATCAAATCCTGAAATCTCCCCTCGAGGAAGCCTCAAAAAGAGTTCATTTGATCTCCGAATTCCTGCAGTGTCAGGGAACCTGCCCCCCTTGCAAGACCACCAGGCCACTTCCAATCACCTTTAATTCGGTTTCTGAGACAAAATGTATCTTCTTGCACCTCTGATTACCAACAAACATTTATCAAGGGCCTCTTCTGCAGAAACTGAGGACACGGAAATCAGACCCTGCTGAATCCCTGAAGTACCAGTGCTGAGGTAAAAATAATGCTGTGTTCACTCAGAGAAGGCCCAGGGACCTGTTGGCTCCACCCCAAGTTTACATGTAATTTCTGAGGATTCTTAGACCCCTAAAATTCCATCATCTAGTCCAAATCTCTTGTTTTGCAGATGAAAAAAAGAAAGAAAGAAAAATCACAGTCGGGGAATGGGGAGACACTTCCCAAGGTCAAGGTCATGCAGCACCGAAGCCCAAGCTTCAGAATCAGGATCCGGACCCCTGAGTGCTGCCTGCAGCACAGCCCCCAAGCCCGTTCGCAGCAGCCCCCCCTTTCCAGCCAAGCTGAGACAAGCCCGGGCTGAAATCTGCAGCAGAACCCCCCTCTTTCCCAGCCCACCCCACCCCTGGGGCTGGGGACTTGGATCTGCAGACAACCTCCAGCCATTCTGAGCCACAGGAGGGCCTGGCGTAGGCCCAGGCCACTGAAGGGGGCGGACAGCTGAGCCGGTGATGGGTGGTTTTAATATTTAAACACAGTTTGCTGCCGCTGCACAGCCGCGGGGCCAAAGCAGCTGCCTCCTCTTTCTTCTCTTTCCTTCCTTCTTTCCTTCCCTTTTTTTTTTTTTTTAAATCTTTAATGTCTCCTGCCAGCCACCAGTGGGGGAGGTGACGTTTCAGTGTCATATTTCAAAGGGTTGCCACAGCTGGAGGGATATTCAGAGCATTTCAAGCCAATCCATTGTGTATAAATATATAGATATATATATATAGGTTTCATTATCCCCTTCAGGGCTGCCAGAGAACATATTCTTTTAATATGTATAATATATTTGAGCTGCTACATGACTCGCAGGAGGAGGGAGGGGGGCCCACAAGTGACATTTCAGAGGCATTTCCACAGACAGGGAAACAGCGACTTTGGGAAAGGGGAGGAGTCTGTGCAGTTCAGGGTGGCCTCTGGGGCCCCCTCGCCCGGCAGGTGTGGGCACTAAAACGTAACTCTGTCTGGTGCCTGGGCCCTGCACAGGTTTTTATTTGCTTCCCTAAGGTGATTCATCTAGTCCTTCTGGGCACCTGTAATTTCCTGTCGTTAAGCAGTGTGCACTGTTGTAACAAAGGATTTGGGGGCCACAGAGGGCACCCTGCTCAAGCTGCCCTCTTATGTCCATGGAGACAGCAGGCCTGCCTTGCCAGACAGTCACAGCACACATATGACATGTCTAGGGGGTCAGAGGGCTGAGCAGAGACGTAGGGTTTCCAAGAAGGGACGCTGAGAGACACCACCGCAGGGTCAGGGGGAGAGGGTGCTTCCCGTGCCTCCCAAGCCTGCAAGGGACATTCTGGTCACTTGAGACCCACTTGTGGGCTGGGGCCCGAGAGACTCTGGTGCCACACTTCATTTGATGCAGCCTCAGGACCTCGGCTCCCCCTCTGTCCCTCTGCAGGACACAGACTTCAGCCTTTCAGTCCTGTCCTGCTTACAGTGCCTGCTGGGTGCTCCCATAACCACGTCACATAAGGCAAAAGAATGTTTTCCTCTGTAGCACTTAGAAATGAAGTCAAAATAAGATGGTGACTTGCTTTTCCTTAGCATGCCTGGACATCTCTGTCTCCCCTGCGGCCTCCTGGGGCTCCGCTTCCCCAGGTGTGGCCACTAGGTGAGGACAGAGGTCTTCAGATGGTGGGAACAGATGAGAACTCCTGGGGAGAGGCTCCCAGTGCGCTCAGATGGGCTGCGTCAGTGGGAGAATAAAGAGAAAGAGCAGTCCCCGTTTCAGGGGCCCCTTAGCGCTGCACACAGCTCCTAACTTTGATCACCTGCTTGCCTCACTCCCTCTCCTTGGTCAAGAGTGCATCTATGCACCCAAGTTTTTAAAGAATCACCCAGCTTCCTTACAGACCTCCATCCAGCATCTACCAGCAAAGACCCTTCAACCCTCCTATAAATTCTGTCTAGAACCCCAAGCCACTGGCACCACACACACACACACACACACACACACACACACACACACACACTGCATTGTGGCTTCGGCTTCCTCTCGGCCTCCTGGCTTCCATTCATGCCTCGCCTACCCCACTCACCACCCAGTGCCAGAGGGGCTTAAACTCGATACATGTGACCACTTCCTTGCCCATTTCTCCCCTTCACTGGCCTTGCCTTCGCATGACTGGCTCTCATCCTTCCCTGCTAGGTTTAAGTGCCCCCTCCTTTAAGCGACCTCCCCCACTACTTCAGTGACAGGGATGTCCTCCCTTCCTCCTTATGCTTTCTCTCTGCCTTTTGTGGCTTCCCTCCAAGCATGCAGCATCATTTATAATTGTTTGTTTGTTGATGTTTACTTGTTTGGCAGTCCCCGTCCGATCCCTGGATGGTGAGGTCCCGGGAACAGGGCCTGGTGTTTCTCTTTGTTGCTTTCAGCCCCGGCCCCACAGGCAGCACAGGCTGACACACAGGGGGTCCTGGAGGGACAGCAGTTGGCTGGAGTCATCATGGGCTCAGCCTGGTAGATCAGGAGAATGCACGGCCCGGCACAGACAGCAGTCAGTGGAGGAGCAGGGCCTGGAGGGGAGGTGTGAGGATGGCTAAGCAGGCAGTCCCCAGGACATCACCCCTTAGGTGTCTGCTTTCTTTGGTAGCCATTTCACAAGCCCATGGACCCTTGCTGAGGCCACAGGGCTGCCAGTCCCCTGGCCTTGTCCTCCAAGTCTCAGCCCTGCCTCACTTGCACACTTCTCGGCAGCCAAAGGTCTCCAAGCCCATTCCCCTGCCCTTTCTAACCATAGACCCACCTCCTTCCACCCTCATTAAGTGTAGGCTAATGTTTGGTGCTGTGGAATTTAGGATTGGGTTTAACAGACTTGCGTAGCCCCCTTTTGGAGCCTCAGTTTCCCTTTCTGAACAATAGAGTCTCAGCCACCCCAGCGCAACCAAGGAGTAGCCTCTCCGCGGAGCGCTGGCGCCCCCTGCTGGAGCACGGAGAGCGCACAGGCCGCTCTGTCTGCGGATCCCGCTGATGCCCGCCCACAGAGAACAGAGCGCACAGGCCAGAGTGTGGCGCCTCGGGTCTGGAAGGTCAGACTGTGCGAGACACAGGTACACAGAGACACAAATATCCCCCCCGGCCTCAGCGGCCCAGACCACCCTAAAACAGGGACACCACGCAAACCACCCTTTATCCAGACAGCCCCAGTCTCTTAGCCTCAAAAGTACAGAAATCTGCCAGGGTGACCGCTGGCAGAAGGTATGGGCAGACATGCAGGGTGCGGTGGGGTGTCCACGTATGTCTGCATCCTGGAGGCCTCTCAGGATGTGGAAAGGAAAGGCAGGAGGTGCATAACTCCCCATGTCTGGCACAGGCTCAGTCCTATGAAGAAGAGAAGCAGGGCACCAATGCTCCAGCTCAGGCCATTCGATATGCAGTAGAGAGACCCCGATCTCCCTGCCTGGCCATGCTGTAATCCGCGGCCCCCTGCCTTGGGTGTTCTCCTAGTATCCCCTAGGACCACAACAGGAGCCTGCAGCTGGGTTAGAGATTCCAAGAGGCCTCCAAGTGCCTGGCCTGGAGCCCTGATGTTTGCAATCAGGCTTGTTGGGGTGGTTTTTTTTTTTGTTGTTTTTTTGTTGTTGTTTTTTTTTTTTTTTTTTGTCTTTTTCCTTTTTATCGGTACCGGGGATAGAACTCAAGACTGCCTACTTGCAAGGCAGGCGCTTATGCCGCTGAGCTAAATCCCCAGCCCTAGCTTGTTGGCTTTTTAGTCACTCATTATCCTGGACTTGCTGGGCACCCGCCACACACTATATGTTCACTGGGCTCGGTGCTCACCCTGCGAGGACACAGTCACACCTCGTGGAGCTAACCTCTGGGGACTTATGGGAAAGAAACAAGCAAATAGGCTGATAATCCAGCGATTCCATTGCTCAGCAAACCCAAGGAAAATAAAAACCTACATCCCTCTGTGCTAAGGTTTGTCCCTTGAAACTCAGGTGGAAATTTAATCCTCACTGTGAGACATTAACAAGTGGGACCAGGTGGGTCATTTAAGAGCTCTGCCCTTAATGGTTCATCCTGAGAATGGCTCTGCTACCGAAGCTGGTGTATTTAGGGCTACCATGCACTTCCTGCCATGAGCCTTGTGATGTGCTGTGCCACAGGAGGACTCTACCAATAAGAAGGCCACCAGATGCAGCCCCTTGACCTTGTACCAGACTGTGAGCCAAAATAACGTTTCGTGATAAGTCATTCTGTGTATCATGTTGTCAGCACCAGGAAATGGACTGAAACGCTGTGTTTGTACAAACACTGCACAAGAACGTTGATAGCAGCTTTATTCCTTATTAGAACCAGCACAGGTGTCCATCAACAGGATAGTGTATAATCAGCCTGGCACATTCGTGCAATGAGGACAGAGCGCCACAACAAGACAGACTGAACAACCGAGACTCAGGCAATGTGTATGAACCCAAAAGCATTATGCTGAGCCGAAGAAATCAAACTCAAAAGCCAGATGCAGTGGTCCATGCCTGTCACTCCAGCTATGTACTCAGGAAGTGAAAGCAGGAAGACTTCAAGTTAGACGTCAGCACAGGCAATTTAACAGGACCCTACCTCAAAATAAAAAGTAAAAAGAGCTGGTACTATAGCTTAGTTGTAGAGCATTTACTTAGCATACATGAGGCCTTAAGTTCAGTCCTCAGCATCTGCATACTGAGTCCTGACCCAGTAACAGCAGGCAGTACGGGAAAAAAAGGAAATCAAACACAGAAGACATGCTGCAAAGCTGAGCTTAGTGACAGGAAACTGGAGTGCTGGGCATGAAGGAGGCCATGTACCTGGACCTTTGGAGATGACAGAAATGTTGATTGGATAGTGGTTACCAGGACACGTGTACTCGTCAAAACTCAAAGCTTGAGTGAGGTGGTGCACATCTGTAATCTCAGCATTCAGGAGGCTGAGGCAGACAGATTACTGAGTTTAAGGCCAACCTGAACTATACAGCGAGACCCTGTCTAAAAAACAACCAAACTGATCAAAATGTATACTTTAAATGAATTTTATTGTATGTAAATTGTACTTCAAAAAAGTTGATTTTGGAAAAATATTATGCCAAGATATATAAGACAATAGGATGAGGGACAGGAGAGAAGTGTACTTTAGTAACAGGGATTGAACTCACGACCTTGCAATCGCCAGGCAGGCACTTATGCCACTGAGCCAAACCCCTGGCCAAAGGGCTGTATTTTAGATAATGCTATCAGAGTTGCCCTTCTTAACTAATGGAGTTGAGACCTAGGTGGAATGGGGAGCTAGACTTGAGGATATTAAAAGTAAAACAATACAGATAGTGGGACCAGCAAGAGCAAAGGCCCTGAGGCAAGCTGGCCCCTCTGTCCAGGCCCAAGAAACTGACACAAAGCTTGTGCTAGTGTGTGCAAGGGCTGCCACTTGCTGCCTTCATTAAGACAGCAGGGTGTCTGCTCCCCCTATCCTGTCTGGCCGTGCCCTCAAGGAATGTCCTGAGGGGGAGGGCACCGGAACCCCCACCAGCTTGGGCTCTACCTGCACTAAT